TCCTTTTTGTTTTCTAACTCAAAATCTTTTAATATTTCATTATAATACTTTATTTTGTCTTCTTGAGCCACACTTTGAAAATTTCCATTCAGCTCTTTCACATAATAATTTCTCCCATTTTCTTTAGCCACTCTCCACTTAAAAACATGTTTCAGAGTCTCTTCTGACATCCATTTTGGTCTTTTTATTTTTCTATCCTTTGATAAAACTGTGGCTTTCTTCATATATGATGTCCTTGATGTCATCCCACAACTTGTCTGATCATAGGACATTAGTGTTCAGTGCATCAAATCTATTCTAGAAATGGTCTCTAAATACAAGTCAGAAATACTCAAGGTCATACTTTGGCCCTTGTGGACTTATTTTAATTTTCTTTAGCTTCAACTTGAACTTGTATATGAGCAATTGATGATCTGTTCCACAGTTGGCCCCATTACCTTGTTCCTCCTGATGATACTGAGTTTCTCTATCATCTATTTAAGGAGCACTGGTTGTAGTAGATAAGACACTTGACTGTTAACTGGAAGGTCAGTGGTTCAAACTCAAGAGCCAATCTGTGGAAGGAGGCAGGGCAATCTACTTCCATAAAGATTTACAGCCTGGGAAACCCAATGGGGGTCACTATGAGTTGGAAATGACTCGATGGCATTGAGGTTTTTTTTTTTTTTTTTTTTTGTGGCATCATCTATTTACACAGATGTAGTCAATTTGATTCCTGTGTATTCCACCCTATGACAACCATGTGTATAGTCAATGTTTATGCTGATGAGAAAAGGTATTTCAAATGAATAAGTTGTTGATCTTGCCAAATTCTGTCATACTATCTCCCATGTTGTTTCTAGCACCAAGGCCATATTTTTCAACTGCCAATCCTTCTTTGTTTCCAACTTTTGGATTCCATTCAGTCGTAATTATCAATGTATCTTAATTGCATGTTTGATCAATTTCAGACAGCAGAAGTTGGTAAAAAGTCTTCAAATTCTTCGTCTTTAGCATTATTGGTTGGTGTGTAAGTTTGAATAACAGTGTATTAACTAGTCTTCCTTGTCAGCATACAGATTTATTGATATTATTCTATCATTGACAGCTCTATATTTCAGGATAGATCTAGAGATGTTCTTTTTTGCAATGAATGTGATGCCTTTCCATTTCAATTTGTCATTCCCAGCATAATAGACCATATGATTATCTGTCTTAGTTCTCTAGTTCTGCTATAACAGAAATACCACAAGTGAATGGTTTTAATTTAGAAAAACAAAAACAAAACAACAAAAAAAAAAAACTTATTCTCTTAAAGTTTAAGAGGCTAGAAGTCCAAGTTCAGAGCGCTGGCACTGTGGGCAGGATGAAGGCCCCTCAACCTTGGGCTCCAGCTCTACTTCTTATTCCAGGCCCACTGGAGCAAGCTGGTTCAAGTCCAGGAACTGGAGATGAAATGGAACCAATGTGGGATCCTTTCTATTTATACTGGAAGCAGGCCATATCCCAAAGGCAAGTCCCCTTCAACTGATTGTAGGGGACTTGTAGGGGCAATTCCCCATCAACTGATCTGTCCCCTTCAATCTGCTCATAGCAGATTCTACCATAGAGGTGATTATACAATGTCCAAGCTCATCATGGTAAATAACTACATCTAGCTGCCAAGCCTCTCAATATCATAGCCCAGCCAAGTTGACACACAACCTTAACTACCACATTATCCAATTAAAAATGGCCAATACCAGTACAGTTCAGCTCACTAATGTATAGGATATCGATCTTCAAGCATTCCTTTTCATTTTTTATAACTTCCAATTTTCCTAGATTCATACTTAGTATATCCTACATTCTGATTATCTGGATGTTTGCAGCTATTTCTTCTCAGTTTGAGTCATGCCACATAAGCAAATGAAGGGTCACAAACCTTTAGTCCATTCATATCATTATGGTTTACTCTACTTCGAGGGGGCAGCTCTTCCCCAATTGTATTTTGAGTGCCTTCCATATGAGGGGCTTATCTTCTGTCACTGTATCATTGTGCCACTGCTATCCATAAGGCTTTCACTGGCCAATTTTTTCAGCAAGAGAACATCAAGTCCTTTTTCCCAGTCTGTCTTAGTTTGGAAGGTCCACTGAAACCTGTCCACTGTGGGTGATCCTGCTACTATGTGAAATGCCAGAGGCATAGCTTCCAGCATCATAGCAACATGCAAGCCACCACAGTATGACAAACTGACAGATGAGTGGTGGGTATGTGGTGGTTGTTGTTATGTGCCCTCAAGTCCGACCCGACTCATAGCGACCCCTCCTTGGGCTTCCAAGGTGGTACCACTATGGAAGTAGATTGCCCAACCTTCCTTCCTTCTGAGGAGTGACTGGTGAGTTTGAACCTCCAGCCTTCTGGTTAGCAGTCAAGTGCTA